ATAGCAACAGAAGAGGATTATCGATATGGGGAGAGCTTAAACAAGGCTTTCTGCTGGCAGGTATGCGTGGCCCTGGCATGCACTGTCCTATTTTATAAACACACAGAGGTATTTGTAACACCATTCTGAAGGCAGATTATTAATGTAATCTAGACATCAGTAGCACGTATTCTGGATTTACGTCCATGTACCTAAAAGCAGAATCTGGTCACTGCATATTCCACGTCTAAAGGGAAAACAGGCAGAACTGTGCTACCCCAGCAAAAGAAACAGAAGAAATGGAATCCGTTTGCATAGGCTTCATTCATACATTAGAACAATATACATCCAAGGTCATCATTGCGAGGCTGAGATTTTTATTCTGCTATCAAAACCACACACCTCCAGTTTAAGGATTAGGCACTACCCAGATAAATGTCTGTTTTGCCTCTGATTTAAATGAGGCCACGATTTCACCTTCTTTGCCATTATACACATCAGTAAAAATATATCCTTAGAATTTAATCTTGCCCCGGCTCCAGGGAGATTTTTGGCTGCGTTAGGACCGTAAAACGTAACCTACACACTGAGCCCTTTTGCATCACTTCTGACTGCACACAAGGCTGGATCCTGCTCCCCCAGAGCTTTCTTTAGCTTCAGCAGGATATGGCGCATACTCATAACACAATTTAATCCACGGGACTCACTCCTACAACAAAGTTCAGTCAAGGGTCTGTTGAAAATCCAGGGCACAGAGATTTCACAACTGAGTGAAAAACATTTCAGCTCGGACATACCTTTCAAATCCTGCTGCATGTTTCCTCCTTTCTGGGAAAGTCGCTGGGAAGGGCGTCACTCTCTTCTCCATTGCCCTTGGAACTTTAATGAGTATTGCTTTGGTTTATTTCAAGAGAAGCTATTGAAAAGCAATTGAAGTGTCTCTCAAGACACTACAGAGAAAAAACTGGGCGACACAGGAAAAAATTGCTGTGAATTAAAATTTAAAAATGGAAAGAAAAGTACAGGTGAGGTATTTTTCCATATCATTTCTTCCATGATTCTGCTCCTCCATCTGTTTTGTCTTTGACGTCTACAACTTGCCATTATATTCCATCCCTACGCTTGGAAATTGCTGTCCATGAAGTGAAAGGTGAAGGAAAAGGAAAAAAAAAACAACAACAAAGTAGAACGGAGTAAGGAAGACATGAAGGGGTGCAGGGAGGAAGAGATCTACTGAGTGTAAAGTTGTCCAAAGGAGGGATGGAAATGTGTTCCCCAAAATCATGGTCTTCAATGGTGCTGCTTGTATTTTCAGGCTGTTAAAGACAAGCGTAGCAGGTGTACAAGAAGAGCCAGACTCCACATGCTACAGTAAGTGCAAAAATCTCAAAATACAGAAGCCATCACATCAAGGGGTTCCTTGTCCTCCGATAGAGTTCGCCCACAGTGGTTCTCTAGAAACAGTTCTATTATCAAGTAGACATCCATTGCTTTTTTGTTGTTGGTTTTTTTTAATTATTTTTTTTTATTTAAAAAGTAGTTTTTCTAATAATATATAGAATATATAAATAACAATAATTAAAAAAACCTATTTGGGTTCGCTTTCTGCTCTCCAACCCATCTGCATTTTTCGTGGTTTGCTGATATATATATTAAAAGACAAGAAAATCAACTCTGCTCGCTATTAAAAAAAATATTAAATCCACCTTTTACATTTCCAGAGAGAAAGAGAAAGGGGGGGAAGGTGGGAGGAAAACAAATTAAAATGGTAAAAAAAAAAAAAAATAACAGGAAAGTCAAAACCTTCTGTCTCTTCAAAGTAGTTGTCAAGAGCTTTAACGCTTGTGCTTTCAGTGTACACCCCACAGGAAAAACAACAAAAAAATACAAACAAAAAAACCCCAAAACCCAAGGACCTAAAATTTAAAAGAAAAAAAAAAAAAGGAAAAGAAGAAATCATAATCCTAGTAGTAAAAAGGACAGCAAATCGCTCAAAGTTTGTGTGTCTTTTTAATCATTTTAGCAGCCGCCCTTTTTATCTGCAGAGGGAGAGCTGCCACCACAGCCACCTCCTCGGCTCGGGAGAGGCTCTTCTGCATCGTCCTCGTCAAAGCCATGAAAGGTCGAGGTGTCGCTTTCTGACGTGGAACCGAACAAGTCCTCCGTAGTGCGTGCTGGCGCTGCTTCGTCCCTCCTGCCTTCTCTTCCCAAATGAGCTGACATGTATGATGAATATATCAGCACATGGGTTAAGCAACAGGCATCATCATCATCATCATTTTTTTTTAATCAGCATTATTATAAAACAACTCAGACTACCAAGCTCATAGGTGTGTGCTTGTATGTGCCCGCGCACCTTAACAACATAGCTCAGAGAACTGCAGTGAGAAAAGAAGACAGGATCAGTTCCTCTTTCAACGGACAAAAAAAAGTCTACAAACAACACAGGTGCCCGTAGCTACGGCAGCGAAAGGGTTAATCACGTTTTCCTCTCTTCAAAAGACATTAAAATATTTTCTCATGATTACTTAGATCCATTTTTATAAGAGTTTTAGACCACGTAAGGAATTAGACACCGTCAGCTCTAAGCACAATGACTGTCCTTTACTGCTATAGAAATGTAACCCACTAGATAGCTCATCAACCTCAGGACTATTTTGTATCCCTGTCCTTCACCTGATCCTGAAGAGCCTCCTCTGTAGACAAAACGAAATACATTTTGAAGACTAAGTGAAAGTAGCCTAAACAAATGCTTTTATTCCAATTTCATGGCAACTCCTTCAAAAATAAATAAATAAAAAAACCCCCCAAAACGAATATATACAGTTCAGCAACTGAAAGAACTACGATGAGAAGTGACCTGTGTGTGAGTCAATCCAACTTTCAATATGGAACAGGAAATTCTCCACAAAGGACATCAGCAGTGGCAACAACAACAACAAAAAGAAGACTCTTGAAAAGAGAAGTGAAATACTGAAATCTGCGAACCTGAGGTTTATTTTCTCCCTCAATCAAACGTGTTATGTGGTTAATAGTATAGCCTTCCCGTTCCCTCTTCAGGAAATGTAGAGAAAAAGATGTCTCATGCCCCAGCAAAATGAAAGTGTCAGGTTTTAGGGAACGGCTGTTTTATTATTCAGACACAGTAGCGTGGTATTAAGTAACCAACTGTTTGGTCCTCGCTCAAGCTAGAGGAATCAGCCATATAACAAGTACACTGCATTGCTTGAGAAATGAAGCATTCGGTCCTGTTCACAAAATGGATATTACAAAATAATTGGCAGATGAACCACCTTGTAGAGCTGTGGTTTCACTGACTTTGTGAAGGGAAAGAAACAACATCATTTCCATGACCTCTCTTTCAGTATAATGAAAATGTTCTCCATTATCAAGAAAGAGAAAGATGGCAACCACCAAAGAGGTTTCATTGTTTTAGTTGAGAGATTAGCGTGTGGTTGTACCTTAATCACTTCCATCACACATCAGTCACACCATTGCAGACCCCTATGAACAACCCAGGTGGGGCAGAATTTGTACAAGGATAGCATTTAATGGAACTGATTTTGCACAGTTTAGGTTACATGCGGATCTACTTGTTCTGTCACACTAAGGAATCAAGGGAATTAATGTATTTGTGTTACATTCTGATATAATCACCACAGCAGTGTTTAAATAGCAAAAAAACATGGATCCATCTCACTGTGCCATATCAGGACAATGCTGAAATGAGTTCTGTTGAACTATGACAATCAAGGGGAAGAGCAACGATCTTCCAAGATGGCACCACAGACAACATAAGCTTCCCCCTTCGGTTATTAAGAAGCAAACATAGACACTAACAGGTCCACAACCCTGACTGCACAGTATTCGTAATGACACCCCTGGAGAAAACCAAAGGCGTTGCCATCAGTCATCTGGTGACCAGTCAGTGTCACTTCACAATGTCTTCAGTGGTCACAACAACTGCAGAAGGCAATTTGTCGGTGAGAGTCTAGTCCTGCTTTCTCTGAATGTGGTAAGAGGCTTACTATGAATTTTAGCAGGAGCGTAAAAAGGGCATTCCCTTGGCAGGAGAACACTCCACATCGCATTTCAGCTGTCACACCACAGACATCTTTCAGTGTCTAGAGCACAGAAACAGCAGCAGCGATACTGAATTTCAGGGTCTTTTTGGTTTTCAAATTTCCATATGATGGTCTTATCACCGCTAGTGTCACCAATGTCCAGAAACATCACAACTGGGAAACAGGCAGTTGATAAAGGTCTCCCATTCCCTCTACCACCACCACCACCACCTCCCACGCAAGCTATAAATAACTGCTCAGCTGAGATAAAATTTCCCAAAAAGAAAGAAAAAATATATTTAAAAAGAAAAAAAAAGAAGGAAGGAAGAAAACAACAGTCCAGAAATAAAGACAACTCAGAATGGGAAAGACACAATTGCTTACATTTGAAAAGAGAGAAGGGAAGAAAATGGAGAAATAAAAACCTCTTTAAACAAAATTAATGACAGTCATCTTGTAAGAGGATAATTCTTGACAGCTACCCCCATCCCTACCCTGTAATTTCCTCCCTCTTTCTTTTTTGGATGAAAAAAAAAAATGCATGAAATGTGTAATCAATGGAAATGCTTGTCATGCAACTTTCATAAATCTTGTAAGTAATTTATAGTTGTAATTGCAGCATTTGAAGACAGAGCCCATTCTTTAACATTGTCATAGGATTTTCTCCTTCCATTTGAAGAACAGCTAGTTCATGTACCAGTGTTCACAGAAGCCAATAAATACATTAAAACTTTATTCTTTTGTAAGACCCCATTAGCTTAGAAACGTGAATCCAACAATGGGTTTTTGACAGAAAATTTCCCAGTCGCCCTTTCCCACAAACACAGACAAGAGGTAAGACCTTGCCTTCTATCCCCACCCAAAATGTGCTGCCTTTCTTCCAAATCCTCAGAAGGAGCAGAAAACAAATCACACAAATGCCTTTGTACAAGAAAGTTGCAAGAAGGAGTCACCTACCAGAGCGCCCACAGTCTGAGCACGATACAAGTTCCTCAGGCCGGCCACTTTTTTTGTTCATATTGGAGCCTCCAAGGCAGAAGTCACAGTAGTTATTGGGAATGATGACCCCGTCTGGTCCTTTCTGGGCTGCAGTTGGGTTAGAAATCAGATTTACTTAAAGAGCATTCGGTTTGAACATTTCCCCATTCTCTTTGATATGAAGTCAGCTCAGTAAGTTTGCAGGCCACAGTCCTCCCAAAATATCGTCAGTCAGAATAAAAAGTGAACTGTATAAATCACCCCATGGTGTATCTATTTTGCCTGAAATGCACTTCCCCGTTTCCTGTATCATGCCAGCAGGGCTGGTTCCTCACAAGGACCCGCTGCCAGAGATTCCTGCACAGTTCAGAGACTTCACAACATGCACAGGCATAGAAACAACCCCTGATGCAGAATGAGGCCTACGCTGCCCGTATGCCAAGCCTATTTTTTCAGGTAGCAGTCATAATCATAAACCCACAACATATAAACTCAGAAAAGAGAAATACATTCCCCCCAATGCAAAAAAAAACCCAACAGCAAGGAAATGGGGGGATAGGTACCCTAACTGGTTTTATTTCAAGTAACTTTTGGGGTATTACATCTCAAAGTGGAAGGGTGTCCCTATTCAAGAAGTTGGTTCAAACGTCCATGAATATTCACAGGAAAAGCCGTTTGTGGGTGGTTTACCCAAGGGTTAAGCTACGTGCAGCAGAGTCCAGTCCCACACTGGGAGGAGAGGGAAGGGCAGCAGGTCCAGCACTACCCCAGCACAAAGTGTCAGCATGAAGCAGACACCCCAGTCAGCAGAGTTAAAAACTCCTTCAGTCAAAAAAAAGGAGAGAAATTACAGTCTTATTTTCCAGCTTGGAATGGTTGGAAAGGAGCAGACACACTCTGGGTCTTAAGCAGAGGAGGAGGCAGTTCCCCTAGAAATGAGAGAAGGGCAGAGGTCTTCTGCTTTCCCATCATTTGAGCAGAACAGCAATGTGCTTTTTTTCTCACTCACAACTTGCCATTTTCCTCCTTCGCTCTCCACAGAGGGAAAACTTCTTGTTCCCACATGCTCTAACTAGGAACTGGGGAAGGGAGAGGTGAGTAGGTGGGAATGGTTGGTTTTCATCTTTGTTTCTCCTTTTTTAACTTAAAAATTCCAGTGGTATACCTGGCCTAAGCCTACCCCACGAAGATTTCTACAAACTACAAAATTAAGACCTTTAAACTGTGGCATCTATATTTAATTATCTTTTTTAATGCATATTTTGTAACTTGCAGATTTTTAACAGATGTTTTGACAGCCTTTATTAATGGTCTTCTTCTTGTCCACGTCCAAATTCCCCCCAAAGAACAATGACATTCTAAAGGGCTTCTGGTAGCAGTCCAAGACATACACTTAAAATTAAAATTTCCCCCGAGTTCAATCTGCTTTTCTGGTTTGGGTGCATCTAGTTATTCACTTACTTCTAGGTGTTGATTAGCTAAGCTTTTTGGAGGTTGGTAACCGAAAGACTGCAGATGAAATGAAGGTGAAATTCAGAAAAACATTAAAACCCGTAAGGCTGCAAATCCATCAATATCTTCCTGCATGGTTGCTGAGTCCTTGGCAGTGTTTACTAAACAAAGGCTTGGCTCTGAAATGGTCCTGGTTAGCAGATCCCCAGTTCTCCAAAAACCAGAGAGAAGCTCCAGTGTAAGATTAGCATTTTGCCTGTTTGCAGAGAGGCATTTAATACATGCGTGCAAGGTAAGCAAAAAAAAGAACAGGAACCAGGTGGAAGCCTAGCGCACCGGCTCATTTTAAGAGCTGTAACAAAATGATCATAAAGTTGCTATTTGTACATATTTTGTGTACAAAAAGCAGATCTCCCTAGCATTTATTTTTCCCACTACAGCCCCATTCTGAAAAAGTTAAGTAATTACTTCTGTAGATTGTGCTGCATCTACAGACAGGCCATGTGCAACGCAAACTCAGCAAGCTCAGGGTTCAGTGGTTTTTTTTTTTTCCTTGTTCCATTAACTTCACTTTTCAGCCAAGTTTCTTAAAATGCTTTGCAGATACTAAGATCCTAATATTAACCCTCAGTGAGGTCCAAAGCCTCTTTTGCTGTTGACTAACCAAAGTGTTGCTGGGCCCTAATGAAAGTCTTGTGATGAGGAGGCAGCATTGAAACTGGAAATGGGACAGGGGACCTTGTGAAAATATAGGTACTGATCAATTCGTCTGCGGTGTGTGGGACAGGTGGAGGGTATTTGCTGACTGCAGTGAAGCTGAAGGGATTCTCCTAAACTGCTGGCAAGGGAATAAGCATAGATTTCGATCACCTTTTTCCTTTCCCCTTCCCATTTTCCCTTTCCCATTTTCTCTTTCCTTTCCTATCATTTTTTCTTCCAATTTAATTTAATTTTTAATGCGAGTGCCTACGTGCTCATCTATTGCTCATCACTCATAAATGTGGACTTGGCTCAGTTGTGTGTGATAGAGATGTCAGGCTTGAAAAGTCATACACAGATGAGAAGTTCCTGAAGTTACATCAATGATGTCTTAAGTGATGCATCACTAGAGCCAAATAAGCCAGGCGATGTTATCCTCTTGAATGTTTTTTTGTTCTAACAGGTGCAAAAGCTAGAAACAAACCTGACTCAAGCTTATTTTCTTGATCAGTACTGTACAGTGAATTAAGCCCCAGGCTAAATCACAGAAGGTGTGAGAATAAAGAGATTTCCAGATAATTGTAAGCAGAGCTCTTATTCTCAGAGGATTTTTTCTGTGTACGTCCTTGGAGCTTTAAGTTCTATTTTACTGTTGTTCACAGATGATGAGGGAATTAAGAAACAATATACAATGTGCAATATTCACAATAGAATCATAGAATGGTTTGGTTCATGAGAAGGGTATCATGCACCAAAAGCCCAACCCTAATCCCACCCCTTAATCACTAAAATTACTTACAAAAGTAAGTATGGGAATGGATTCACAAGTGAAAGCAATTAAATTACTACGACTAATGTGTTGCTGCTTTTCATCTGAGGCATAGTAATTAACGAGGATCCTCTTTTTGCACACGTTAATCACAAAGCAGAAGGGGCTAGCTTAACCCAGACAATAGTTCAGCTAATGAAAAGTAACTCACTGCTGGCTCAAACATTTGGGTCAGGTGACTACAACCAAGGATTTTCTCTAAAAATTCACCCAAAATCAGAAACTGTTTTAAAGCAAAGCCTTGAAAACCAACCGCGGTCTTGTCCCAGCTTACTCAAAACTCCTCTGATTTTCTTTTACATTACAAACTGCAAAAACAGATCAAAAGCTCTGAGTAGATTTGAGGAGTACTGTCTGAGCTAAGGCGTGCTTATAGGGGGTGTATTTACATCAGTGCCTCTTGCCATTTCAACTTGGTGTCACTTCCTAGTTTCATCAAAGGCCCTGTCTTCATCTACATATGCTCCAAAATAAAAAGAGCATACAATTTTTAAAAATACTTTAAAAAATTGATTAAGGAGAGACACAGAAAGTCTGCACAGTTCAAATGATAGTTTTTCTATACCTGAAAGCTGATTCATGTGAAGACAGGATGCAGACTGAGAATGAAGTCAATATTTCCAAAGAACTTTGGTATGCGCTTATTCTGAGATATATTTTTTCTTCTTAGCCTAATCAAGTTAATTTCAAACTGTATCAAGCTAAGCAGAATAAAGACCTAACTTAAAATATGGTACCATCATTCACCAGAGTCTTCTTGCACAGTAAGTACTGTAAATTAAATAAATTCTGTAGTATATCACACAGTAATTTTGCTCTATAGACAAAACCTAAAAAGCTAAACAAATTGACTGAGTTTATATGTTCAAAATAACTTCTGTGCCTTCTTGATTTTCAAGGCAGGGACTTTCAACAGAGTTCTAGCTTCCCTTCTCCCCTCTCCAAGTAATCAAACACCTGGAAGTTATCTACTTCTTCATTGTTTCAGTTTAATAATAAAAGAAAGCTGCTTCTAGAGAAAGAACATCAATAAATCAGGATTTTTCTTTTCTACAACATCTCCTGGAGCTACATGACTCAATAAGAATCTCAAGTTTTCTAGCTGTCATGGCTGCAGAGAGTATCTTGAATGGAAAGCAAGTTCAGAAGAAGGGATCCTTGTCACTGTTTTTTAATCAGAAAACTCAGATATTTTAATAGCTTTCCTTCTAAATGTGACCCTTAAAGACACTCAGACAAAACCCCAAATAAATAGAACCTTGTAGGTTTCCAATTTTCTGATTTCTAAGTGAAGTTATTTTGATGATTTGTATCACAATCTTGGAGCTGGAACCAGTGCTTAAAAGAAAAACTAGTTTCTCTGTTCCCTGGTACCAAATCACAGTCACATCTATTTCTCCAGTCTATAAGTAATACAGCATGATACTTAACCATGGTTTAAGCTGTGCATCTAGGTTTGGTAGCATTTTATCCCTATTTTTTATCATATCCACTTTTACTGTAAAGGCAGTGGAGAATGAGGAGGGCATACCTCGCTATTGGGGTGGGGGGGGGCTGTGCATCATTTATTTAAATGATTACAGTGAATTGGCTACAGTCAGACATATATGTGCTCCCAAAGGGATTTTTCCTAGCACATTTTGTCCAGCTCTTACCTGTTCCTTCTGGGTTTGATCCAAAACCAATAAAGTCCACTGAGGTTTACAATTCCATTTGAAAGGCTTTGAATCAGGTCATTTACTCTGCTTGCAACAAAAATTTGCAGAGCACAATAGAGACCACGGGAACCTGCGTGTAGGCCTGAATCAAGTCAATGCACTTTGCAATAGAGGAAAAGGGTTGGATTTGACTTTTTTTTTTTAAATCTCCAAGATTCTTTGTCTGAGACAGGGGCCTGGTTTTCCTTTCCAACGCCTCCCTTGTTCTCACTGTTGAAGCTCAAGTCCAGCATTTGGCCGCCTGCGTGGCAAAACGCCAGCCAAGAGCCTGAGCCTGCGGTCGCCAAGCCCCTTGGAGGACTTGATGACATATAATCCCAACCTATAGCCTAAGTGCCCCCATGTGCCTCTGCTTGCCCCCCACTGCCGCCAGCACTCATCCATGGCAGGCCTGGCCTGTCTCCATGGTG